AGGAAGCTCGACATATTTCTCTCCCCACGGTTATATCGGCCCGCTGGAGAGGAGAAAAGCGAAAGGACGTAGCAAGAGAATCGGTAAACCGCGATCCAGAAAGCATTTCTCCGACGTATCCTAAAATAATGCCCGACGGAATCGAACAAAAGCGTGAAATATGGACTCAGCTCGCGGAGACGTCACGAGTCCCTCCACGGGATAACTTATGATGCCAGCTTCCTCTCTCCACATATGCGGCGGAAAACAGTCTAACGTGCTCGCGACGACGTTTCCTATTGTAATTTAACGGATGCGCCCGATCGTCTACGAGTTCGCGACCACTTCGAGGCTTGTCTCCGCCCCTGAACGCTCGGAGTGTTCCTTTTCCGCGGAGTTTAAGAAAAAGTCCGAGTGGATACGCGAAGAAACATGACAAATCCTCCCGGCCCGCGGATGGTACGATTTAACGATTCGTCGCGAATTCTGTTTTTCGTGGGGGCGGTGTAATAAGATTAACAAGAAGTTCTCTCCACGAGTCCCGTGCAGAGTGGTGACTATTGTGGTGGCGAAGCCACGAGAAGCGAGCTCCAAGCTTTAGGGTCTTTCGGTAGACGTTGGCTGAAAGAAGAAGACGAAAGCGACTAAGATAAATGATTTTAAGATGGAGTTAAGACATTGTTGACCGGTCACGAGTAGACTCGTATTTGCACTTATCGATTTTAATTTAAAAAACCCAGGGTGATATAGAATATTGCAAAAGCTTTGCTCATCGTGTTTAATCCTGTAAAATATTTCATTTAATATTTCCTGTAAAATATAAGTAACGTTTATTGGATTTTTTAAGCGAGGGAATGCTTTGGTTGTTGGTGTAGCGAACGACTCGATTCAAAAAATGAACTCCTAGGGAAATTGGAGTACAGACGTCGGTAGTAAAAATATGTTAAACGAACAATAAGAGCATCAGACGTCTCGATCGTGCCCTTTGCTTACAAGTTCCCTCAAAAATGCTCTCCACTCTAAGCATTTCCCTAAGCAAGTTACCCCGAACATTCCCCCAAGCTATAAGACACGAAAGATCAGAGAGAAACTTGCATCCAACAAACCGAAAGCTCTTGGCTCTCAGGGCAAGATTTAACGCGTCCGTGCTGAATGACGTCGTTTCGTGTTCAGAACAGCTCGCCATTGATTCGGCGTTAAATTCATGGTCCTCATAAGGAATTCATCGTTTACCTCGGACGAAACTCGTCGTCGGCCATGAATACTTGTCCAAGCTGCTCTCTGATATTCCAGACCCGATCGATTTCGCGCAGTAAGGCCAAGAGTGCGCGTTTGTGCGGGGCTGTTGACCCCCCTCTCTCTCTATCTTCCTTTCTAGTTTGCTCTCTGCATAGGCGTAAATTATAATGCCTGGGCTTAGAGACCTCCGCTCTGACAAATTACAGGTTTGTTCTCCGGCCACCGGGACGCGCGTCGGAGATAGATTTCGTCGCTCCATCACCGTCGTTCTAACCGGACTCACGCGGGTATGCATATTAATTCAATTTTGGCTCGCCAACCCTCTGCATCGTTTGGGAAATACTCCCTCCCCGTCTCGCTCTAACTACCAAACCGTACCATCCGTCTGTCCCTTTCTCTAGCGCGCGCGGTTATTTCGTTTTTTCCCTATTTGCCCGATGTTACGGGTTATTCCGCGTTCGAAACTTTTAGATTAATTACCTGACGCTGGATCGCGCTGTTGCATTAATCTTGCCGCTCGCGGAGTCATCGACGTTGACGAGTTGTGTTGCGTCGTTGTCCCGACGGAATTGCTTTCGCTCGCTAGTCGTGACGAGGGTGGCCGCACTTTTGACTGATTTGGAATTGTAGATTCAGGGGTTGCGGCAATCGAATAGCGGCTTGCAGCTCGACGATGATCATTGAGAAGATTCGCGCTTCGTAGCTCCTGTAAACAGGCAACCACTGTGACACTGGTGCACGTATGGAAGTATGCATGAGGGGTTATTCTTTAAGTAAAATTGAACTTGGTTGTGTATTTGAAAATAGACCACTATTTTTCAGTGTATTTATATACTTATCGAGAGACCAAGTACAGACTCTCCACGTACGACCACTCAAAATTCAGAGAAACGATCGACGTAGTTTCGGGAGATCTAACGATTGGTCTAGCGTCGCCATTAAACGGAGCACCGCCGCAATAGAGAATAACGCCATTGTCGACCGAAATGGATCAAACCTGGAGCGTTCTCTCTTAATCAGGATCGTTACGTTGCGACGCTCGTCGGTTTATTCGCTTGCATATCGTCGAGGATATTCGTCCTCGAGTTTCGGAGGGGGTCGCCAACACCCTCGGTGCCTTAAGACGATGCCGTTTCCGCTTCTCGTTTCCAGACCGGCCGCGGAATTAATTGCAACGACCGTGTCTTAATTGATAACGAAGAGCATTAAGATCTCGCGTAATGCGTCTCTCCCAAAAGCGAGAGAGCTGGAAAGACAGCGGAGGACCTACGAGAGAGACCGAGGATCCCCGTCTCCAGACAGTCCAGACTAACGGCGGACCGTGAAAGGGGGAGGTGAAATAACGCGGGGGCGTATTTGCATTAGCTATTCGTTTGACCCTAAAAACTGTCTGAACTGCACCGATGGCTGCTCGTAAAGTCCAGCAATATCGCGACGGAATCGCGCTCGAAATCCGAAACTCGACGGCTGAAAGCTCGTGGATTCACGAGGAAATCGAAGAACGATATTCGACGTTCTTCGCGAAGCCACGAATGGCTCCTAATGGCGAAGACTTTCGCGAAAATACCAGTGGCAGTTGGTGAAAATAACTGGAGCGAGGTTGCGGAGATTAGCAACGAGGAGTGAATTAGGGGAGAATTCTTTTAGCTTGACATCAGTTGAAGTGGAAACAGAGGAACTTACGTTGTTAGACTATGGAGGTTTGATCCACTATAGCAAGAACCTCCTCAAGATTAATATTCGAATATCTCAGACCTCGTACTAAATAAAAAGAAACTTCCTCCGCTGTCGCCACACTTGTAGAAGTACGCTTTCGAGATAATTTAACCCACACAACTAAAAATCCAGACATTCCATCATCCTATCGCATCCTGCATTTGCAGGATCAGGTCCAGCAAACTGTAGCTAGTAAACCGTCGAATCGTGGCGTAAAAAGTTCGTGGCGAGAAAGGGTTCACGGTTTACCTCGCCCCTGGTGGAATCGATCCTTCGCGGAACTCCTCGGCGGGGACGGGGGGGTTCCCTGGGTCGCGGAGGTTCCGCGGGGTCAATCCTTCGGGTGATCGCGTGTCCTCGGTCGTAGACGTGACGAATACGCCACGGCTGACCGCACAATGTATCGGATTTTACGACCAGCCACCTAGAAAAGGAAGAACAAGAAACCCGGGGAATGAGGGACCAGAGGGGGGACGGAGGCGGGAGCGCGGGGCAGATTTTATTACGTTATTTTGTTAATGCACTCGGCCCCTTGATCCTTGCGCCTCGAACGTCACCGTCGACGAGGAAATATGATGTCCCCACGGTCAGAAAACGGGCCATGAAAAGCCTTTTTATGCCCCCGCGGAATTTCACCTCTGCTTTCCCTCTCGTGGCCGACGAAACCCTTTAAACACGGCGAGACTGGTTTTCTGGGGGTAGGGGGGGAAGTTAATAAAGCGAGTCGCGACGGGGACAATAAGACACTGATAAGAAGAAAACATTGTACGGCGGGGGCGGTATAAATAGGAAGCGGGTAGCGAACGATGTCGTAAGCAGTTGTCTCACGTACGCAATTTTTGCCGCGAGCGTTGTGCCCCTGTTGGAATATTACCAGTACGGGCGATTCGGCGGCTGTAGACCGCGGGTTGCATGTTTGCACGGGGCAACGCGTGGGTCGTTCTTTGGGAAAGGTTATTAATTCTACTCGTTGCTATCGCCTCAAAATGTATACAAGCGACATATACGTTGGAGCAATCTAGAGACGCGGTAGCGTCTCGATGCCAAGTTCATGAAAAATTATACAGCCACCCTGTATAACGTGGCGCTACCGCTATCTTTTACAGGAGAGATGGTCCATTCTAACCTAATTTAAAACTTCTTTCATTAAGGGTGCGCAGGACCCAGAGCCAAACTCCGAGTTGACTTCAGCGACAGTTGCGGAAAAAGTAGGAAACTCCGGGACAAGGACAGAGAGGGCGATACAACAATTACAGGAGAAACGAGGACAAGACGATTAGGCTAGCATGATTCTTGTCAAGGATTTTGAAGCAAAGAAGCAATATTTTCTAATAATTCTGGTTTCAAAATATTCCTTATACCTTGGCGCATGCCACTGTAAAGCCCGATTTTGGAAAAAGTGTTTGTAAACAAATTTATTCTATAAGAAAAAAAGAAACCATACTTTTATTATTTATAAAGTTTCAAGACCGAAATTGCAAAATCGGGCGTTAAAGTGGAATGCAGAGTGATGTAGAGAATATTTTAGAAAAAGAATCGTGAGTTAATCACTCTAACTCTCATCCTCTCCATACTTACTGTAAACTGGAACTTCAACATGAGCTTTTAATAACCAACAATGAAATAAATATATAGGAATTTTAATAAAAAAAGATAATATTATATAAATAAATATAAATTTATATATATTTAAATTATCATTATTTAACCTTATTTCTAATATAAAAAATACTTTTGCATTAAAAAATATAATAATATAAAAAATAAATATTACTAAAGGTAAAGAAAAAAATAATGTGTAAAACATAAAATAATATCTCGATATTAATCGTATAATTTCTAATCCTCGATAAACAATAATTATAAATGTCAAAATTAATCTTACTCCATAATAAAAATAAAAGTTTATTAAATCTAAAGATAGAAAAATTATCGCTAAAACTATTAATACAAACATTAAATAATAAAATATAAATATTTTCATATAAATTTAAATTTAAAATATAGATATATTGCTTATTTTCCATTATTAAATTTATATTTATGGATGTAATATAGAATTCCAGTACTTCGCAAAGCATTTATTACAATCATTTACAATTATCGTAAAGGTGCATTTTACTACTACACTTTTACCATTTATTCTCTTTCAATAAGACTTATATTTCATTATGCGTATGCTTTTGTCTATCTTATTACGTTCATACTAGCTATACCTACTTTTTTCATCATCACAAAAGACCATTTTTTCAATCTATTGTAATCAATCCAAGTTAGTTTACACGTGCATAATGTTTTTTACCAATTTCTATATACATATACACACTTACTTAAAAGAAAAATGTATGACCGCGGGCATTTTTTAAACTTACTACGATACTGAACCATGATGAAAAGCGTCTTAGACTACTAGCGTAACAACCGCAGCAGAGACGACAGCAGCGCTGCAGTGGACAGCGTGATAACGGAGCAACCATATTGCCATACAAATCATCAAGATTTCACAGCAACGAAGCTCATCAAGTTTTTTGAAGCGAAGAAGCAATATTTTCTCACGATTCTTTCTCTAAAATATTCTTTATATCACTCCGCATGCCACTCTAACGCCCGATTCTGCAATTTCACCTTTAAAATATGATAAAAATATGTTTTTAAGGAACAAATTTTTTTTTTTTGCAAATTTTCGAAACAAACTCTTGATATGTCGATAGATTTTCTTCCCCTGATTACAGAATGCATAATCATTATGCGTTTGTTTTCATTATTGTGCATAAAAAACGCGAAAAACTGTTTCGTAGTTCACCTATTCTCCGTTGCTCTTCGTTGGTGGCGCTAGTTTAGCTCCTGCGCAGCCTTAATGGCAATCCCTGATAGTCAAACACTGTATTTGAAATATTATCGTGTTACTAAACATTCATTACTTTGCTCGACGGTCTTCTCAGTGATGGAATTATACATCGAATAAGTCTTTTAGTATGCGCGTGGGTGTTCGTTAAATAACTGTCGGAAAACACGAGGAAAATATCACGAATAGCTACGAAATACTCGACCACTAAGTCACTTTACCAATCAGGACTCCAATTTGGACAAGAACTGCAGCTCTGTTCGCTCTCTAATTTTCCAGTCATTTGCGACGGGCTTTTCAAATAGGATTATCCATAGTATTTGTTTCTTTTAGTTCATCTATATCATCTTCGTATAAGCGAAAAGACTCGAGAAATTGACTTCAGATTTTTTTATGCAATATTATGTCCATAGTTCCGTCGCGATTGCATTACATCGAATCAGTTCGCTTTCGAGAATGAAGTAACTGATTCGATAGTCCTTGAATTTTCGCCCTCCGAGTAGCTGTTCCTTATTATGCTTCCAAGAAAACGGAGATCGAACCCAGTGACGCGAGATATATTCGTTTGACGCACGATCAGACCGTATTTCTATCCCGAGAGTCCACTCGCCCTTCGACTGGAAACGACGTCATTGGAAATTCGTTATCAGAGCGTTTCGCAAGGTCCCGTTAATTCTTATTTTCCAGATGAAAAGAGACTCGCCGAAGGTAAGAACGGAGTCGTGTTACTTACGGAATGTCGATACCTTCAAATTACGCTCACTCGATAATCGGTTACCTATCTTAATACCATGCCTGCGTTTTCGAACAAGAAGTTGGCTGATATTATTTTTATGTATGGATTTGCGAATGGCAATGCTAGAGGTGCCACCCGCGAGCATCTAAGACGATTCCCCGGCCGAAGACATCCCAATCACCAGACATTTTTTCAAGTATTTCACCGGTTGAGGGAAATAGATTCGATTTCCGGTCAACACGTCCTTCGAGAGAGAAATCATGATCACAACCAAAATGGGGTCCGCATGTTGCAAATTGTTAACGAGGATCCTGGAGCAAGTACGCGGCGAATATCCCAACAAGTCAGTATTAATTTATTCAAGATGATAAGTAAATGACGTTTAAATGACTGTAAGTACTCAAATAAAACGCTTTATTTATCTAACAGGTTGATGTGTCGCATCACAGTTAGTTCACCCGGTTTTGCAAAATAATAATTTGCACCCTTACCACCTAACTCGGGTAGAAAGCCTCTTGCCACGGGACTACGCGTCCAGAATGAGATTTTGTGAGTGGCTTCTGGCTCGAAAACTATTTTGAGCAAAGCATTATTTGGACGGAGGGTGCCACGTTCCCCGGAAGGAGTATCTTTAAGGGGTTAGTTGCAGTCAGGTAAATGAAAACGAACACTTTCTTGTGTGTATTTTTTGTAAGGTATTAAATAATAATTTTTATGAATGAAATGTAAATATATTACAAAGTATGTCTTAAAGAACTATAAAAGAATTTTTGTTTTAAAAAATGGTTAATTCATTTCGTCATAACAGGCGATGGCGTGGGTGGCCACTTGCTTTGCTTTGCTGAGCAAGATTTCTTCAAACTGGTGCAGCTGAGAACAAAAATAATATAAATATTAGACTAACGGGTCCCTGATTGAAGGATTTTTTATTTTCTTATATACTTTTCTTTTTATTCTTCATTTAATCACTTAATTTTATAATGAAAATTGAACTTCAACTTTAAATGTACGTCACTTTGTTTTAAATTAATTTTTTCCAAAATCCTTCGATCAGGAACCCGTTAGTCTAATATATTCGGTAGCGTTTGCCCTCGATCAATACTAAAAATGCGTCTTTTGACCTGGCCAATACCGAAGATGCGTGAGGATAGAGGTGTCGCCGTTACGCGGGAACCAATTAAACTGACGCGCCAACTATCCAGCAAGTGTATAACAATACTCCTGCCCTGGGTACCGCGACCGCCAGGGGGGACACCTAGAAGCCCTGATCTGACCCCTCTTGATTTCTTATATGTGGGATACTCTGAAGTCCTTGGTTTACGCGGACAGAAGAGAAACCCTCATCAGGAGGGTTTCAGAAAAAAAAAATTTTTCAAAATTACAAACCGTACCAACCTTTTCGTGGATACAATAATCAAACTCTAAAACTACCTAAACGAGAAATCAAACTAAGTAATTACATTGTGTTATTCCGGAGTGCAGGAATGCGGCAGACATGCGGCAAATGAATCCAAAATGCCCACCAACTTCAGGATGTCACGGGAGCCGTACTGAATAGATGCCGCCTGTGCATAGAGCAAGAAGGGGGTATTTTGAAAACCTAAATTTAAAAAATTTGTATTTATTCTGAATTTTATTTTTTAAATTGACTTTTAATTTAATGTATGAAATAGGTAAATTTTTCTTTAGCGTCAAAACGTGTTATTCTTATTCAAATTTAGCGGACCTTATGGTTCTCTTTCTCTTGTTCTAATAAATTATTTTTTCAAATTTAAACTTTTTTATCGGTTCTCCTGCTCCTAAAACATTGATTTTTTACTTTGTGAAATTGATCTTGTTGCAATCTCCATATCATTTATCGGTACACCGAGGTAATTTTGATTAAATAGTCTTTAAAAATGAAAATTCTACGAATACATGTTCAAAAACAATTATTAATCACTTCGCACTCAGACGAGCCAGCGAAACAAAGGTGGTGTGACGACGCTGATTTCAAGGAAGGAATGTGTTATTTCATAAATAATTTACAAATTGTCAAAGATTAGGTTTGTGTTCAATTAGAAAGATTTCGGGATGGTTTTATACATTTCGAACACATTCCTGCCGACGAAATAAGAAATAAAAGAAATTTTATTGTTGGAACGTAACATAGCATGTAAGCTCCGTGTATGCCTGCGGTTTCCGTCCGCAATACGCGTGATGCATTTGATTCGCTAAAACGCATGTGGATACAACGCTCCGACGTTTCATGCGCTTACGGAACTCAACGGAATCCTTGTCGAAGAATGGCCGATCAAATGGTATGCGTCCCTCAACCACTCTCATAATTCCGTTACTCTGTCACAGATTGGAAATGTTGTTCTTGTTTTGTTGGATATCGCGGTTTAATCGAATATTCTGTTGTCAGTATCATACGGTCCATTCAATTTCATCTGATCACTCACAATATCTCCGTTGCTTTCCGCAACCGTAGATAAATTCCTTTCAAAGGACAAATATGGAGGACGATCTGTTTCACCATCAAACGCACAGACCGCATAGGGAACCGCTTCGTTTCATTCAATTCACGCATTAGAGCGCACAAAATTCTCTAGATTCCTACTACCTCTCGCGCATTAACCGAGTATCAGCTACCGCACGCAGCTCAGGCGTGCACCGTTTAAAGCAAAGTTGATAAGTACGCGGCAAATTCAGAAAAGTTTGTTGCGAAGGTGATTTTGTTACAGAAATAAGATAGAAAATACTCGCTCGACATAATCTTCTATTTTCAGTAAAAACAATCTTCCCTCGCGTTTCACCAACTATTAATATTGTTACGCTGGGGGGTGGTGCCGCATCGAAGAGTAGTCATTTCAAATAACTCAAAACGTTTATTAACTTTAACAATATCTCGTTTAATAAACACGTCCGTACGACAGCAAGACTCGCGACGTTCTCTCTATTCGAAAGTTGCCGATTCACTTGGAAACCGGAACATCCCGACGATCCGCTTCCGCTCGCTCTTCGGAACACACTTCACAACGTCGCAGCAACTTCGCAATATTGCGACATCTTTAGGCCGCCGCAACATTGCTCCCTCCTCTTCAAGGCGGACGTCCCGTCCGCGAGAAACAATGTCCAAACACCTCTGTCTGAAAGGAAGTAAAGTAACTGGCCAAAACATTTACCTGAGCGGCCTTTACCAGACAACTTGCGCCTCGACATTCGTCCATCGACTCAAGGAAAACCGCTCAAAAACCTTGAGTAAGGCGCCAGTGTTCCGGTTCGAGGTAACCTCTCGACTAATCCTCGCCCTTCCTCTTGACTCTTGAGGCTTGGGTGTTTCTTTCTTGAGGACTTCCCGGATAGGAATTCTCCCAGCTGAACGGAGACATTCCTACCCTCGCCTTCTGCGAAGAAGAGTCATCTTCTTGGGCGAGGATGTCGACAACTCTTTCCAACTCTTTTATTTTCCTTTCCATTTCCTCCAACGCTCCTTTTCCTTCGACGCTCCCTCTCCCTTCGTCGCTTCCTTTTTCTTCATCGCTCCTTTTTTTCCACGGAATTTCCTTGCAAAATAAATTTTACATTAATTCCCCTTTTCCTTACTAAAAAAGAAAATCGATGAAGCCGGACTCTTCAAGTTCTGATCCTCTTGATTCGTCTAAGCGAGTGGTGTCGTCCAAGGTACCACCTGTGCACTCCAACAACGCCCCCGAGCTCGCACTAAATTAAGGTCGTTATTTGATCTAGTTACCGTAATCCAAAACACTCATCCATCCCCACTCACACTCGCGCTCACGCGCATTACATCGCCCGCGAAATTCTCTACAGAAAATAAATTTTGATTCACGGAAAACTGCAAAGTGTTGAAAATTGTAACGATCCTGGACCCACGTATAAAAGACCATTTGCTGCCGCTGGATATAAAGAACGAGGCTCGTGACTTGTTGCACGCCTATGTGTTAAATTGTAATCAATATGAAATTAATGAAACAAGCGTTCGAACAAATCTACCATCAGGTAAGCGTAACACTATCAGAAGATTGTGGTACTGGATTTAATGTTATTTGTTAAATATTTTACTTTTCTTGCAGATTTTTCGACATCCTCGAACTCATTGACGCAATCGATAACTGCATCGAACACAGTATTTAAATTTTTTTTTTTAATTTCAGAAAATGAAGAAAATTCCGATATGGATATAATAGAAAAGGAAATCAATACATACTGTTAGAGAAATACCAGTAATGCGTTGAGAGGAATGCTCGACGTCCAAAGCATGCGTCGCGAGAAAGAAAATTGAAGGTTTCGTTTTATTAAATACAGTTTAATAGACGTATTCAACACAATTTATTCTAAAATAAATACGACTGATAGAATATATAGTACAATATACAACGTTGCACTCGCTTTCGAACTCGAGCCGAATTACAGATTATATTCAGTTACCTTTGTTTAGTTACTTCTGTTGTGTATTAAAGTTTGAGGACTGGGCAAACTTAGACCATGACGGACAATATTTCCATGTTTCTTACTGTTCGGGCCTGCCGTTTCGAGCGTAGACCCTCACTATCGGTTTCAACAAACAGAGTCAAACATCGCAACAATAGGACCGCTTTTATGACTTGTTATTCAAAACGAGACTTTTCCACAAAAAATCAGTAAATTTCGAAGTGTTCTATCTTGAAAACTAATGAAAATCGGGTAAATATATTCAGGGTGAATGAATTCGTCTTGAAAAGCCCCCGACCCCCATTCTTCTTTACTGTACGAATAAAGATCGTGCATGATACAAGCTCTCAGAACAAGTTTGAACCGTTGTAGTGTGCTTTTGTATGCTATATACAGGGTGTCCCAAAAGTCGGGGAGGAGCCGGAAATGGGGGATAGCTGAGACGATTCTGACAACAATTTCCTTTGCAAAAATGTCGGATGGGGCTTCGTTAAGGAGATATTAAGAGAAAACCCCGACCAATCAGAGCGCGCGTAGACCGTTGGAACGGCCGCGGTAGCGAAGGCTACGCGCTAGGCGGCAGCGTCAATGTCCTTCGATGCACGTCGAGTCACTTGTTCGCGTACAAGCGCGGCCCCCAGCGCGTAGCCTTCGCTACCGCGGCCGCTCCAACGGCATCCTCGCGCTCTGATTAGTCAGTGTTTTCCGTTAATATCTCCTTAACGAAGCCCCATCCGACATTTTTGCAAAGGAAATTGTTGTTCAGAATCGTCTCAGCTACCCCCCATTTCCGGCTCCTCTCCGACTTTTGGGACACCCTGTATAGTGTGTTCGTATATGTAAATATATGGTCTTCAGTCAGCGTTCGCCCAAACAGGCGTTGTCTTTAAAATGATATCAATGGGTATCTGACTTTGCATTGGAAAAACCTAGCGAAGTGGTGTCTTTCTTTCGCTCTTTTATGACAGAGCGTTTATGACATTCCTAATGAAATTCGCCCCTTCCACCCACTATTGTTAGTAAATAGCCTATTGTTCGTTGAAATCAGCTGAAGAAATTATTTTATTTTATTTCAATTTTATTATTCCAGAAAGCATCTCTCATTCGGTATCATATTTTCAATGATTTAGTTATAAATGTTATAAAGAAATAATTCGTATTACTTACACTGGACGTTAGAATGTATCTGTACGTACGAAGTTCAGTAACCAAAAAATATTTCCATAGGGCTATTTATTTAAGATTCCAGCTATGGTAATAAACGATTTGCAAACCTTGTGCTAAAAATATTTAAACATGATTAATGATTAATTGTTTCTAGGCATTACAAAACAAACTTTTATCTTATAACATTATCTACATATTTTTAATTAGCAGAAACGACATGAAAAAATCCCTCACATGAAATACTAGCGAAGCAATATACCCTTTCTTTTTTTTCTTTTTTTGTGGGGAAATGCGTTACGCATTCCCGGGTCTTCTAGAGGAGACCCGGGTGGCGAGTCACCGAGACTAAAAACACTCTCCCACCTAAACTACAAGGGAGGTGCCTGAATCTCGCGGATAGGACAACCTCCAGCACCAATTACACCCTGCAACCTTCGTAGAGGACCTAGGACCTACATAGAGTCATAATCCCTTAAACGTATCCACCCCCACTCCAATTCTCGTACACCACTGCACCGTGGGGAGGTGCCATGAAGTAGCTGCTCGTATACCATAGGCAGCACCACCTCCCATTCTCCGCAGATCTGGGGGTACAACAACTAGAATGGCACTGCGCCTGATCCACGAGCCCTTTATATATCACAGCAAAATCTGCCCTCGAAGTTATAGATCAGCTAAACAGTCGTTGTAAAAGTTTGCCAGGAATACTTTGTCCTGAGAACTTCTGGTCAAGCCCCGGAGACTACAGAGGCTCTTCAACGGGGAAGCAAAGTCGAGTTAGTGAGAAAGAAGAAGACGTTTGAGGTGAAAAGGAGGAGAGGAACGTATTCAGCGACCGCAGGCTGAAGGCCAACAGGTGGTTCAATCCAGGGAGAACAGAGGTAATTTTACCTTTACTAATATCGAGAGGGGATTATATAACATAATATTAAAGTGATACAGTATATTTATATGTCAAAATTAAATTACAAGGTTAAAATTGTTTTGATTTTTGTATATTCGATTAAAGCTAACCAAAAGTCCATTTAAAATTCGTTCGTTAACAGCATGTCTTATCTTCTAAACAATGTACAGTGTATTTTATTTTGTAATTTTTGCATAAATGCATAAACATCTTCAGTGTGTTGATGTTACAATGAAAGTGTGTAGAGTAATAAAACATGATACACATGTATAATAGTGTAGTATCCGCGCCTTCCATACTCAAGAAAAATAGAGTCAAACGAGAACACAAAACGTAGAGTACAGGATCGTGTAAGTAAGGAGATCAACTGTGGATCCGAGGATCGTGGGTTCGAATCTCCGTGTCTTATTTTTCCTTTAAACTCCTACAATAGTGATGATAAAAGGGGAAACACTGACAGTGTAGATTAAACTAGTTTAAGAAAATATTGTTGCTGGGAAAATAATTACAATAGAATCCTCGTTTCTAATCAAGAAAATCACAGGTTCATTAGTTAGACTAGGATTTCAAGGATTCTCCAGAGGTTTCAAGCTGGAGTATATAGCGAAAATAAAATATTAAAAAACGCGAGAATATGAAAACATGAAATATGAATATGAAAATAACTTCCACATACGATGATAATTATCATCTATTATAATAGGTGAACAACTAACGAATTTTATAGATCGTTTCAATTCCTTTTTTAACCGACTTCGAAAAAGGAGGAGGTTACTCAATGCGACATGTATACGTATACTTTTTTTTTTACTTCTTTAAAATTCCTTCTATACTTTAAAAAATTTTGTTTTTAAATTCTGCACCGATTACGCCGAGATGGCTTGACCACTCGGGATTGAACATCTTGTATCTGGTATCACTGCCACTTGATCCCATAAAAAAAATTTGACCTTGGATTATTTTTCACCACTTTTATCGCAAAAAGGGTACAGTAGATTCTCCGTAATTCGCTGAAGCTCGGGACCGAAAACAACGAATTATCGTGTAAAAGAACCGAAATTGTAGGCGAAATGTAGTAACTGCCTTTTTGAAAGAGAGAAACGAAAGAAAGAACGAGAGACCCGAGAGTCCCCGGTGCAGCAAAAATTATAGGATCATGTCGGTGAGACATTACTAACGCAACATCAAAAGTTTTTTATTTTTTACTTTTTGACAGTGAAAATTGTACCGTCGTATTTATGGTATTCTTTTGATTAAAGTGACACCAAATATGATATAATTTGGTGCATATTTGTTTATTTTAAAAATAATAATGATTTGTTTCCTTTGGCCCGTAAAATATGCAAATATGCACTAAATTATCCCGTGTTTGGTATCATTTTACTTAGAAAAATAACACAAATACGACGGTACAATTTGCACTTCCAAAAAGTAAAAAATAAAAACGTTTTATTCTTGCATTAGTAGTGTCACATCGATATGAGAACCCGGATTAGGTATTCCATTACTTGGACGTCTGGCCCCGAAGATCGACGCCAAGTAGTGTAACCTATTCCGGGTACTGTACTATTTCACGTATGTTCGGCCTGAAATCGATGAAATCGATGAAACCTTTTACATCCGGACAGATTTTCGCGATGATCACATTTGCAAAAGTTTATGAATTTTAGTACTGTTTACAACTATTATTATTGCAAAATTCCTATTCTTTGATGTAACTCGGCAAGGGATTAACCGATCGAGATGGAACCTTTCACATTTAGTTGCACATATATTCCTGATGATTCCATTTGGAAGAATGGTACATCTCGTTCGTAACTATTGTTATTGCATGAAGCCTAATTTTTAAAATTAAAAAAAAGTTTGACCTTAAATTTCGAGATCATAATGGATTTTGCGGACGGTTTCTTTTGCAAATGTCCACCGAACCAGATGTGTACCTGACAGTGGTTACTAGTAATTTTTGTACACTCTGTACAGAACAAATCAGAGTGAAATCAGTGTTCGACTATGTTGTGACTCAGTATGCGGAATTCCTTGACT